TGCGCAAGGACAAGAAGAAACAACAGGAGAAGCATCGGTCACTGGTGTTGATGGACTACTCCCCCCTTCCCATCGACAAGCATGAGCCTGAAATTGTAAGTTGTGTGACGCAGCAGCTGCAGTAAAATGATAGCTAGGCGTTAAATGCTGAGGTGATGATGCAACTCACCATGTGTTGGTCTGACACAGGGTCCCTGCAGAAGGAAGCTGGATGGAATCATTCAAAGTATGAAAGACACCTCCCGTGTCATGGCTCTTTCCCTCTACCTGCCTAACTGTGACAGGAAGGGCTTCTTCAAGCGAAAGCAGGTAAGACTCTTGTTACTTTTATTGTACAATATTAACATTGACTTCTAATATGACGATTTTTTTTTTTATCATTGATTAATACTGTCAGTCGATTTTAACCCATGGAAATCATTCCAAGCAGAACTGTTGCGCAACACACAATGGTTTTCCTTTGAATGAATCAGCATTTTTGAACACTGAATGATTCAGTAACTCACTCACTTTGAGTGAATTAATGTTTTTGAAAAATCGGTTCAATCAATGATTCGAATGACTCACTTAAAAAGACCATTGCTGTCGCCACCTATTGGTGTATTGATGTAATATGCAGATAGAGTCATTGAAAAATCCCACCACTAATACCTAGATTGTCAGCCTGTCTGGAACAAACACGGACTAGCGAATCTGCTCAGCCAATCAAATTCGAGGACCGGCACTAACTGTTTATGTATAAATATTTATAACCATGTGTTAATGCCAATTTTTGAATAGTCCAGAGAACTAAATACTTTACAATACAAAGGTACATGCCACGTTGTATCTCCGAACACGAATTCAAGTGCAACTCTTCCGTTTTAATGTAAAAGAATGCAAGGTAAAACATAAGTAAAACTGAAGCGTTTTGTAGCTAAACATTTAATATTCAGCAACTGTTTTATGACAACTGTTTTATGACAACTGTTTTAATATCCATTGATGCAAACTACTCAGCTTTTTTGTCCAATGGTGCTTTTTTCATTTTGAAAAAAAAAGTGTCTTTTACATGATTCATTTAATGCATAACTGTATGGAGCGAGGCAAGAAACATTAACGGAGCCGTTTTCTGCTTATTAGGCATATGATGATGAGTGAATGTGTGCATGTTTTAAAATTATAATATTATTTGCAAAAAGTTCAAATTGATTGCTTTGCAATAAATTCTAGGTCTTTTATTGTTGATCTTTTTTCTTTATTGCCTTAAATCCCATCAAATCCTTTAATTATTTGATTAAGACCATTACTACCCCCATTGTTCAATACGTTAATTTTTTTCTTTGTACTTTTAAAATTTTAGCTGTAATAATGCCTTATTTCTGTGCTTTAAAACAGTCTACTTAATTAGTTGACTTTGAAGATAAGTCATTTAGCACATCTCTAGTATTTACACCATTCAAAACTAAATCACTCCCATTCTAATCAACACCGTCATCTATAGGGTAATTGCTCATCTTTTTCAAACTACATCGAATATTTTATGAAAGCATACCATCTGGTCCAAGTAGAGGCATTCCCACTGAGTTGTGCTTGCAGTTTTATGACCCTTTGTCCCTTGTCCACCCTGCAGTGCAAGCCCTCCCGTGGCCGGAAACGAGGCATCTGCTGGTGCGTGGACAAATACGGCGTGCAGCTGCCCGGCACTGACTATAGCGGCGGTAACATCCAGTGCAAGGATTTGGAGAACAGCAACAAC